CAATTATAGAGTGCTGTATCTGTCAACCACCCCCATTATATTTTTGTTAAAAATATAATGGGGGTGGTTGACATATAACGATATTTCAGTCAATTTACATTAATTGTATATTAAAACCTTTCTTATAATTCACTTGAAATCCTGATGGAAACTATATAAAAATCCGTTCAGTAGTTTTTGAGATTATCGCGTTCAAACAGAGAACTTCATTTTATATAAGGATCTTATTTTGTTTTTCAAGAAGAATCGTTATAATTCTGTCAGTTTACATAAACCCATAATTAATTATATATTAAAACCTTCCAAGGTGTGAACTGTATAAAAATCCGTTCGGTAGTTTTAAGTCTATGTATTTGTGAAAACCGATCAAAAATCGGTTAAATATTTATTGAGTTAATCGCTTTTACACAGATAAAAAAGTTTCACGTCAAGGAAACACAGTAAAACCTTATTAATGACCATGTACCTACTAGTACAATTACCGATTTGGAAGGTGTTATGGGGCATCCACACGCTGGCTGTTTGTCACAAACACCGCAAAAAGCAAACGAAGTCCCAAACACCAACCACAATCACCCAACACAAACAGCCATCCACATGCTTAGCGAACGTTCATAACATTCCGAATCGGCAAACATGGCGGACGACGAGCTTGTTGCAGCTATTACTTTCGGGTTGACATATTTTTATTATAAATTAAAGCAAGAGAAAGAAAAAAGGAAAAAAAGAAGAAAGCAAAGACGATGGTGGATGATTAAAATACATAGAAAGCGTACAAGGCTTTAGACCTATTATTTGAGCTTTACTTTGCCGTGTTTTTTTTAATTTTACTTAAAAGTTACTTAAAAATGTCAGAATCGTAGGTGCTCCAATCAGACATTTTTTACGCTTTGCGCGCCAACGAAAGTGTAGCAAGTAAATACGTCCGCCTCCCGCAAGCTCGCGCGCATACTGATCGCTGCCAAACGTGTGGATACGTAGCAAACTGTTTGCCAAACATCCTTTGATCTGGCAAGATAAACCGACACCGATGCCGAACACTGCCCAACACGAACACAAACAGGCAAACAACGACAAACACCCATCCACACGTCCGTGTTTGCTGTTTGCTGTTAGCTGTTTGCCATTGTTTGTCAAGCGTGTGGATGGGCTTTTATGTGATACCCTAAGCTATTTGACCCCCATGTACCCCATAACTTCACGACCCCCATTGGTCACTATGACCGCATAGTGCCTATGACGCCCATGTAATCCTTACCCCAATGGCCCCCATGACACCCATGTAATACTTGCATCTTGTACCTCATGAAACATATGGACCCCATGCCCCCCACGAACCCACACCCCCATGGCCCCCACGACATCCTGACACCCATGAACCCCATAAACATCAAGACTCATTAACCCCCATGACTGGGTCCGCCCTTGTGACAAGTACGTTTTAAACATAAAGTCATACAACCCTCGTCAAATCAATATTTACACGAGTTACTTGCTTTTAAATGCATTAAACGCGCTAAACAATTGCAGGCAATTGTTAAATATAGAAACAATAATTAGAGGGGTCGCCGGTTCGATTCCGCGAACTGACACTATATCATTGAAAGTGATTTATCGCTCTTTAGATGTTAAATTTATCGCTTTATGTCCTTACAAATTAGTTTTATATATGTGTTATATATAATTAAGAATTCCTAGAACGTTAAAATTCATTTTTAACTTCCACCGCGTGCGCTAAACGGATAGTTTCATAAAATTATGTATTAGGGAATTGTTCCTCTTTAAATTATCTAAAAAAATCTCTAACATAGTATATGTACCTATATCTTTTGCCCTTCACTCACAAAACCCTTTAAAAGTTCTAGACTTCCTTCGATGAAGATTTAGTTTAAATAACTTCATATGAACTGAATGGGTCTTCGCTTAGTTTAAACCGAATTTGTAAGAAACAAACCTTGGTTCTCTTGGCAAGTAGATCTCTGCTAGATTGGGTATAATATGGAGCAGAGTGCCCTTACGATCTAAAGAATCCTGACTGACAACCCCAGTTAAAGTTGTTGACTTGACGGGTCTTGATTCTGGGCTAAGCAGGTGGTGGGATTCTCACCCTGCTGATGCAGGACAGGTACTGCTATATGGCCCCAGTGGTGGAGAGGAAGAGCTTGACCTTCCTCTGTTTGGCTTACCTATAGAAATCTAGGGGAAATACTTTGATAGCGCGTTTCAGGGGTCATTCACCATATTAATACTAAAATCTCTATTTTTCTGTTGCCTTACAACTAAAATGGAGAGGAGCAGGGCACCTTGCCCGTTAGATGACAGATTGTCTAAAACAGTAACCGAATGTCCAAAAGGAAAAAGAAACAAGGGCAGACTAATAGAGCGATATGGGCCGATGGGATCGAAAGGGTAGCTGGAAAAAATGGATGATGGCAAAAAATAAAGTATAGTGGTGAAAGTTGGAGGTTCTTCCGGACAGGGACCGGATTGAGAGAGACTGAGAAAGGGCGAACGTAGCTTGAAACAAATAACCATGGAGCGAGAGTAGGGATCAAGCAAGTGAGAAAGATCGTGAGAGAGAGTAAGATAGAGCGAACGTCGCATCAGGCACAGTGCCATGGAGCGAAAGGTGGGAGAGAGCTATAGTGAGAAAGATTTAGAGAAAGAGTAAGGGAGATCGATATAAAATACACGCTATTGGTTGTATTCGTTTAGTAGTTAAATATTATAACTTTAGATGGCAATTCTGTCGCATAACGTCTTGTGCAGTAAATGCAGATTTTTTATTTATTTATATTATCATTAGCACGTATACAGTGTGTAAATATAGATATACAAATACATGGAGTGTTCATATACTGGTACATGATCATCTATTGGGTCTTTTACCTTAGTAATATTTACAAAGAAGTTTCACTTCTGACATGTGTACTTTGTACGCACGCACTTTTTTTTAAATCTCAATAAGAAGTGGATGAGTGAAGGCTTACTATTATTGGAAAGCCAGCCTGTGTCATGTCCTGAACCCAATTGACATGACACAGGCTGGCTACTTGTCTATTATCACTGTTGTAATCTTCCTAAAACATATATTTAATCTATCAAATCTAAACATAATATGAGGGTAGAACGTAGAACAGTTACAGTTGACGGCCGAGTCACTCGTCTCTCAGCCGTCGTGGTGTGCGGACGTAGTTTCGGTGATAGCGTTAGCGATTTAAATATCTTTCTTTAGTTTAAAATTTGTATTTTTTTTATTTTCTATACCTATTAGATCTGAATACCTATTAGATGATTATATATTACTACAAAAGCTCCAATTGGGTAAATTACACATTCATTTCGACAACTGAGAGATTTTTAAGGCATTTGACACTTTAGTCGTTTTCTGACTCTTTTTCTTCTTTTTTGACTCTCAAGGTCAAGAAAAGAGCGTATCGTACGAGGCCGGCAACGCACTCGAGTTGTATTAAGTATAGTTTAATTCTATTTAAAAAAAAATTGTGTATAGAGAGAAAGAACTATGCTACAAGAAGCAATATATGTAGTTGAGTTTTCCTGGGCTTATGTTTAAAAAAAAAACAAATTAAAAACATGATATCTTTAATATAGTGCAATTAAATGTACAAATAAAATGGAAGATACAAATTTTATACACGAAATAATTTATCTAAAATTACATTAAATTGGTTATGATATCGCATCATTTACAATTCCAATATTTAACTAACGGATACACAAGCGTAATATATATTTTCAGTGTTGATTGTCAGGAAAGTATATATATATATATATATATGTCAAAAGAATACCCTTACCGATTAGTAAATAATCAGCAATCATATCAGCTGTTTTTGTTATCACTTTAATATTTATAAATTTATTAAAGAGGGTAGGTCCGAAATTAGTACTGTAATATTAATAAATTTTAATTATATATATCTGAAAACCCTTGCCGATAAATTACTAGTTATATTTTTCAGCGTTGAAATTATATCAGCTGCTTTTGTTACATCTCTACTATTACAATTTTTTTTAATATAGAGGGTAGTTCAAAAAAAGTAATTATAATGAATTGAAACAAAGTTTATTTAATTTAAACTATTTCGGGATTAATTAAATTATGAAGGACGTAATAAAAAGTACAGAACTGTGGGTACTTTGTCAGAGTAGGACAGTAAAATTATTACAACTAATTTCGTTTCTAGGTCTTTAATGGCAGAAAAATTTAGTAATTCAGAACAGAGGGTAATTTGTGAGGCCCTACCCTCACAAAGTGAAATTATTACAAAGGCCTGCCACGTACAGGCTTTGGACTGTGACCAAATTCTTAGATATGACGTTAATTAAATATTGGAATTTTCTAAAACTATGTACAATTAACTAATCACTTAACCGCTACATATAAACAGTTAACTTTAAACTAAATTACTGACAACATTAAGTGCTTTACTTAAACATACGGACTCTAAAATAGCCTTTCAAGAGAATTAAATCTATTAAGTCACAATTTAAAAAATATTTCTTAACGCGCATTCGTCTAGGAATATCAAAAAAAGCAGCATCAAAATGTTCAGCCGTTCTTAAGTGACGAACAAGAAATCAAAATTGACTACAATTTTCTATTACAGAATCTTCTAGTCCAGAAGCGATTCCCTGGATTTCCACGCAGCCACATGAGGAAACTTGTAACCCAAAAACAACCTTCGAATCGTAATAATTGTTTAACATGAGTGCCGTTTGATATTAGGATTATTCAACAGCGACTGTTCGGACAAATCTTCTGCCATGCTTTTGTGGTCATACTTCCATGGGTTCGACAGCAAGAACAGATCTTCATTCATTTCTATAGACATACGTTCTGCCCTTCCGGGGTCATCCCGCCGTGCTTATGCTTCAGTGGTCACACATCCGTGGTCATGCTTCCGTGGTCATAGATCGGTGCTTTGCGCAAATATATACAGTTAAGAATAATTAACCGACCAGAATGTGATCATCATTTACGTAACACTAATTTCTTCATCATCATCGCTTTCATTCGCGGTACTGTGGTTGTACAGCCCCTGGGCCATGAGCTGCATAGCTAACGGGTTCCGATGACCCGTAGCTTTCTTTATCTTCGCTCGTTTGTTCTGGAACCAGATCTTGATCTGCGCCTCCGCCAGACCCAGTTCTGCAGCCAGCGCCTGGCGTCGGCGCTCAGTCAGGTACCGGTTTTCAGCGAACTCGTGCTGCAATAGAAATGCTTTGTTAGAAATGTCTGAGGACAAAGTATGAATCCTAGGAGATTCTGGATTGTTCTAAATGAGACCATAGCTAACAGGATTACATATAGGAACTAGGTTCATTTTTGAAAGTTTACACGGCTATAATTAACTAAGCCTTAAGAATATGAAAATTGTTTTGTTTTTAAATAAAACATCTACAAGATTTTTGAAGTGAAACTTCTTTAGGCGCATGAGGCTAAAATTTTTACGGGACGTCACGAAGATCTGCAGCGTTTTTGCCGAAGAAAAGGAAGAGAGCGATTGAGAGACTGAAAAGGGTGAATTACCTTATATTCTATTTTTAAAATTAAAAAAATGAGAATTTATAAAATATGAGTATTTTATATTTTATGCAAAATAATTTATTGAAATCTCAAATGACGAATTGTCAATTAAAATGCCACGTGTTTTTATAGTTTAGTAGTAGTTTGAAATCAAAAGACGAACCTTTAATCTCTGCAGCTGAGCAGCGCTGAACGCAGTCCTAGGTCTCTTCTCTTCCGGTGTCATTCTCTTCTTCATTCTTCTACTCCTGGGACCTGTTAAATAAAAAAACTGATTTATGTATATGTTTCATGATCTAATCTAATAGGCAAGTAGGTGATCAGCCTGGGCCTGACAGACGCCAGTGTCGGGTCTAAGGCAAGCCGGTTTCCTCACGATGTTTTCCTTCGTACAATACGTTAAATGCGCACATAGAAAGTCCATTGGTGCACAGCCGGGGTTTGAAACCACGACCTCAGACATGAGTTTTGAATTCTCTCGAAACGGCTCAACCGATTCTTATGAAATTTTTTATGCATATTCAGTAAGTCAGAGAATCGGCTATCTATATTTCAAACCTAAGTAATAGGTACCTAATTGGGCTATACTGTATGATGGTGTAAAAGTAAGGGTATGTACCTACGTGGGGTGTGCTGATGCAGGTTTAGCGCTATGGATATTCTTAAAACATAAGCATGTTCTGCGATAGCTTAAACAAGTCAGGGCTTAGTGGTCGTTGTATGTCCGGACGTGAAACAAATCAAAGTCTGGAAGGTAGGCAATTTCATTTGAGAGATGTCATATCAATAATAATTATTATGAAAGTGTTCTAAATTTAAATAAATTCAGAATCTACTTGCTCTATCCATCAATTTGAAACATACGCGTTTAACATTCCTTCAAATTATTTAGTTCGATTAAAAGCATTAATTTTTATCGCAAAAGCAAATAAATAAATTTAAATTAGGATCACGTTCAAACAGATTTGTTCCGTTTTAAAATTGATTTGCCGTGTTTTACTCATATTATTAATATTATATATATGAAATGCTATAATAATTATTATTATTTTTACTTTAGAGTTGGACGTAGGACTCTGGAGGCTATTTTAAAAACACTAAGTTCATGTTTTACTTCACTATACTATTACAATAATGTATGTTTCAATATCACTATGACGTTTCACTGTCCGCGTCTAGAAGAGAAGTATATTTTCATTTCAAAACAATCATATATATATATATATGTTATGTTGGTTCGTGTATGCTTTAAAAACTCAAAAAGTTCTGCACCGATCGAGCTGAAATGTTAGCATGATATAAACTCCGCATCAAGGATTTGTAGCTTTTGATTAGATAAGATTTGTCCCATCGATCTGTGTTTTGTATGCTATGTGCCCATTCGAGATCCATATGTCAGTTCAGGTTACAGGCAGTACTTTTAATTATTATAATTCTCAGTTTCATGACTTCTTTAAGCGCCCTAAAGCTCTTCCGTGCTTTTGCTATTATTTTGTCTATTTATTTTATTGTAGCATCGTTCATATATATTGTCTGACCGATTTATTCAGCACCATATTGTCTAGTCTATTAAATATCCGACGCTTTACACAGCTGGATTAATTTTTTAAAAATAATTCTAAATGTATTACCTTCTCAAACGCTTTAGTGAGTTCGTTACAAACGCTCCTTTATTAGATATTCCTAATTAAACCACTTTGATATCAAAACATACAATTATAAGTAATTATACCACCAATTATAGTTAAATTGAACTAATTAATGAATATCGAAGCCTTAATTAAACAATATTGATATCTGTGATTGTTAAAACGAATGAATATTATATTAATTAATTTTTGTTATTATTATTTTGGACTTTCCAGTACTTTACACCACATAATATTAACTTTTAGGTATAAAAAGTCACTAGATGTCACGAAACGTTTTACTATGCTTAGGTACAGAAAAACGTTACGGCGCGTTACATGGGGGGTTCAAAAATTGCGAGGGGGCTCGTGTTGCCGGCCTTTTAACAATTGGTACGCTCTTTTCTTGAAGGACCCTAAGTCGAATTGGTTCGGAAATACTTCAGTGATAGTATATATGTGACAAAACGTTTGTAGATGTATAATTTTATATTCGTTTGCCAACCATCCGAGCGACTGACGCAAAAGTCCGAAAAAATTTGCATGTCCCGACATTTTTTTATTACAAACAATTCTAGATTTTATGCCCTCGTTTTACGATCTATTTTCGTATGTTTAGAATTAAACGTTTGCGGTAGACAATTTATTGCGCTATAAATGCTTTTAATTAAACGCTGAAAAATCTACAATTCTTTTGGAAAATTCTTTTTAGTGAAAAATTGCCTTGCATCGGTACTAAGTAACTTTTAATAGCGATTCCATCTGTAGTGAGAATATGTAATAGGCTATTTTAAATACATAATATATATATATGTTTTGATTTTTAATCGAACTAAATAATTTGAAGAAATGTTTAAAATTGATGGATAGAGCAAGTAGATTCTGAATATATTTGAATTTGGAACACTTTCAAATTAGATTCATTCCATGTTTAAAAAAATTTATTTTCCTGAATTTTTTAATAGTCAACTAGGTATAAGATTTTTGAACGCAACAGCAAATAAATGAATTTAAATTTGGAACACGTTCAAGTCGATTTGTTCGTTGTTAAAAAGTTTAAAATTGTTTTAGGTACAAGATTTTCAAAAATCGATCGCAAAAGCAAATAATTAAATTTAAATTAGGATCACGGTCAAATAGATTTGTTTGCATTTTAAAAATCGATTTGCCGCGTTTTACTTGTTATTGGTAATAAAAAACTTTAAAATCTAAGATTCGATTTTTAAACATTCAATGTATAAAGAAATTATTAAAAAAATATTAAATTATTGAATAAATAAATTTTGTTTTTTTTTTGACATGGTATTTAAAAATCGAACGCAACAGCAAACAAATAAATATAAATAAGGAACACGTTCAAATTGAATTGTTCGATGTTTAAAAAGATTTGCTATGTTTTACTTATATTCGTAATTAGAATACTTTAAAATCAAAGACTAGATTATTAAACAGTCAAGGTACAAGATTTTCAGTATTCCATCGCTACAGCAAATACACTTTGAATTTAAATTTCGAACACGTTCTAGTTGAATGTATTGATTCGATGTTTAAAAGTTTAGAATTGTTTTACGTATATTAAAAAAAATTTAATACTTTTGAAATCTAAGATTCGATTTTAAATAGTCAATGTGTAAAGAAATTATTGAATAAAGAAATTTTGAATTTTTTTGACAAGGTATTTAAAAATCGAACGCAAACAAATAAATTTCAATTAGGAACACGTTCAAAATGAATTGTTCGATGTTTAAAAAGATTTGCACATTAGAATACTTTAAAATCAAGGATTAAATTTTAAAACAGTCAAGGTAGAAGATTTTCAGAATCCAATCGCAACAGCAAATACTTACACTTTGAATTTAAATTTCGAACACGTTCTAGTTGATTGTATTGATTCGATGTTTAAAAGTTTTAAACGGTTTTACGTATATTAGAAATGTTAAATATTTTTGAAATCAAAGATTCGATTTTCAAACAATAAAGGTACAAGGCTTTCAAAAATCGAAACAATCGCAAAATAAATTAAAAATTGAAACAACATAACATCGTAATATACTTCGCTTTTAAATATAATTTGATAATAAATCAAAGTTTTCAAGTAATTACGTGTACATAAATTCAATGGCAACATTTAAAATACCGCAAACGCTAGTGTTGCCAATTAGAAATAATGAATTTGTACGAGACAAATAAATTATGTCCTAATGACCTCAAATTGTTAATGGGGTTACACTAATGGGGGTGTATTAATTAAAAAAACTGTGGGGTTGTCCCAACAAGGAATTAAAATGGTTGGTGTGTCATTTGACCGTTACATAAGCACCATTTTTTTATGAATGTATAAAGTATGGTTGCGCAATAAAAGTCCTCACATTTGCGTCACATTTGCGGCAAGCTTGCGGTGCCTGCATTACTGAAATATCTTATAAGTGTATTGGATAATAAAACGGACTCGATTTAGTATGAAATATGATTGCGCAATCATAGTTCATACATTAGACTGACAACCCGACTGAGACTTTGACAAATACTTTGAAAACCGTTTGACATATAACAAAACTATGAATGAATGAATTGTTCCTCTCTTATATATCTACAAAAAAGTCTATAATAGCATCTATCTATCAATTAAGGATAGTTGACTATAGCCATTCAAACGCAACTAGAATATAGATAAACTATTTCAATGAAATTGCTGCCCGACGGTAAAGTTTTGACAAATACTGTCTAAACAGTTTGACATATAACAAAACAATGTTTAATGGAAATGTTCCTCTCTAATAGATCTATAGAAATATCTAAGAAAGCATCTTTCTATCTATTAAAGATAGCTGGCTCTAGCCATTTAAATTTAATTTAATTTGAATGGCTAATTAATTAAATTATATTCCAGTTGCGTTTGAATGGCTATAGCTAGCTATTCTTAATCGATAGATAGATGCTATCACAAACTTTTTTGGAGATATATAAGAGAGCAATAATTCCTTCAAATATAGTTTTGTCATATGTCAAACGGTTTAGACAGTAACTGCCAAAATCTCACAGTCGGGCAGCGGTTTCTAGCTAGTGTAGTTAATATGTTAAATCATGTTTATAGGTAGATATTTATAAATTCACATAACTCAATACTGATTAGGGAAATATAAAAAATGGGAATACATTAGAACAACGAACTATTAATGCCTTCATTGCGTGTTCGTCCATAGACACATAGAGCACGCGTCGCGCTTATACCATACCATTAATTTGTAATTTGACAAAAAAAAACTTTCTTTTGTACTTAGGAGATAGATTAAATGGTATTTTAAATTGAAGATTTATATTCAATTAATGTTTATAAGCGCCCTAGGGCACAATATATGTATTTTAAAAATTTTACAAAAAATATCACAAATGCAAACTTTATACCAACAGAATATATTTTCTTTTAGTTTTTCTTCATAATGGAAAAATCACGAAACTTCTGGACAAAAAACGAATATTATAGAGCGAACATAGACTATTGTAAATTATTACTATTGTAAAATCTGGTTAGATTTAGGGCAGTTAGGGACACACACCCTAGGAAATGGATTTTATTTATACACACGGCTTCCCGGAGAGACTTTTTTATAGTATAGAGGGGAAACG